AGCCTTGTAAATGTGAGTTGTGAACTGTTTTAGGAGATCATTGATGAAAAGAATAAACAGGGTAGCAGATAAAACACCTTCCTGAGGGACAACTTCTTTTAGTCTAACAAGCTTGCTCTTGTGTTTTTCCAGTCTGACTCGTGTTGCGTCTGTAAAGAAAGTCTCGAATCCAGGCAAACATATGCCATTTTATTCTGCTGTATGCTAGTTTTAGCTAGAGACCTTGTCCAGGTCGAAGAAAGTAACTAGCAGTTTGTATTTTTCTGGAAAGCATGTTAAATTTCTTATGCAAAGTAAGAGGTTTGGTCATCAGTACTTCTGTTTTTCTTAAAGCTTTTTTAGCTGTCATCCAATTTTTTTTTTTTTTTTACTGAGCTTTACAAAAGACGTGTCTATCGAAATGATTTAGACTGGTACCGGATTACATTTTGACAGAGACTGTTGCAGTTTTTTCTTTCTTCCCTTCACCAAGCTCAACAGCCAGTTGTATAAAAGGCTGAGACTAGAAGAACGTCATGACTGTATAGAGGAATATCCAGACATGACTATGCCAAGTCCAATGGTACTGGGTAAATGCTGCTAATGTTATTCCGCTAATTTCGTCATACATTCCATTGTCAGCATACATAAAAACTAATTATACGTAAGTCGGTTTAAAAATGGCTGCAATTGCCAAGTTCCATTTAATATATTATATCATTCACAGTTTCCGATGTTGTGGCAGATTAGACGTTTGTTTGACCCATCTAGAAACAAAATCTTATACTTAAATAAAGAGCACACCAATAGAGGGTAAATGTGCATATATGACATACTAAACAAAGGCATTCATGTCTACTGTTCTTTCATCACTTACCTTATTCTCTTTCATTGACGTGGCCTAGGTTACATCATGACCAGGACTATGTACTGCTACTTCAGCCAGATCAACAGTCTGCAATACTATGTGAAAAGAGGAATGTCTGCCAAAGAAGAAGAGGTACTTTAGCTTGATTCATCATCTGCTTTCCAACGTTTTCAATGTATTCATGTTGGTCATGTTGTCACTTTTGGTTCTATTGAAAGTAGCGGACATAATAGTTATGGTGTAACTTAGACGGCTGCTGCACGTCTCGGAGCCAGACAAAAACTGGCCGAGACTAAAACTGTGTGGCAATAGTTAGTGGTTGGTGCTACTGCTTGCCACAACAAAGGTGCGAATTTAATCCCCAGCAGCGACATAATGATTTTTCCCCATATCTTTCCAGTGGTCACAACATGGTCCAGTTTTCGTTTTGCTCATAATAGGACTAATAATTACGTATGTCTCTTTCTGATGTTTGTGATCAGTTGTCATTGAGCCCCTGCCTCTTCCAAAACATCTGGATTGCTCCTTTTTGCCACGAGAATGGAACAATAGCCAAGCAGATAATGTGATCAAAAACAACATCATCGCGTAAAGTTTAACAACTCTAGACAAGTATCTGCTATACAACGTTTACGATAAGTCCGATATGTGTCAGAGAATCAGAATTAACTTACTGCTGCCATCAGCAACACTCAAGAAACCAAGGTTTAACATTATTTACCAAAGTCCACACGACTCATATCCATTGTGTATCTATTATTACCCGTTACTATATACAACCTGGGTTCTAAGCCCATTTCAGCTGACACCAGCATATAATGCACTCTACAACCCATAGATATAGATAGTATTTAACAATGGATGTCTCATGATCCGTCTAATATACCTAAGTATATATTTGCGGAAAACATTTCTAATACGCTTCTATCTGTTTCATAAAAATCGTATCAATTACCATTGAGGTTTACTGACGTTTGGTGCAGGAGAGAGCCTAGCATATGATACCACAACATCCAGCTTAAGAATGGAGGTAAAGGTGGTGCCTGCACCTTTCCGCTGGCTAGAAAAAAACGACACACACACACACACACACACACACACACACATCGTGATTGTAACTGACTCAGAAAGCATGCTAAGGAAGATCAGAACAGGTATGCTTCGTGCAGAGTGGCATACTTCGTTGTGGAGGACACGGGTGAGGAGTATTGTCTGGATTTTTTCACTTGGGGACGCCGGTGTGTTGGGAAATGAACAGGCGGACAGACTGGCTGGCTCTGCACAACTTGGTGGAATACTGATACATGATAAGGCAGGCGTGGTTAGTGCCTTGTGGGAGAGCGTGTACAGGTCGGAGGAGCAGATGGATCACCACAGTCTGGTGAGATTGATGCAGCGGGGAGTGACGAGAGGTTCTGGCAGATGCTAGAGGCTCAGAAGAAAGGTAAGACGGAGGTTTAATCAGAATGCTACTGGCATCATTAGTATCGAAACTCTTCGCTGGCTGCTGAAGATGGGGACGGAACGCTTATGGGGAGACCCTGAGTGCTGTGATGTCGGTTTTGAAAAAAAAAATCAAATCAAATCAATCATTGAGGTTTACTTACATTTTAAATCAATTATTTATAATATCTGGATGGCTCATGAAACTAACAGGCCGAACACTAATGTTTCAATTCAATATTAATAGAAGGTGCGCCGACTACACATTGGGTGAAATGACTGGCTCTGTTACAAATGTTATGTGGTTAAGGAACACATGGGGATTAGCCTTGTTCAAGTACGTAAGGAAATTAAAATGAAGATGATGTACTGAATGGGAAGTAAATATAATGGTGTATTTGATTTAATATAAAATTTATAAACACATACTTAAAGAAAAAAACAATTAGGTTTTATATGATTAGATAAACTGCTTAAACTTCTTGCAGATTTACTTAAGGGCACCAAGTTTGTTTTAAAACATACTCACAAAATAAGGCATAAGTGTAAAGTTATTGGCATATTCTTTACAGGATGTTCAGTAGTTTTTTTTTTTTTTTTTTAATTGCTGTTTAAACGGTCAGTTTTCGGTACAACTGTCGAAACCAAGGCAAGACAAATCTTCCGCACATGGAATCGAACCCGGCTACCCTGCGGTAGAAAGCGAGTTAGCCGCAGACGTCGACAAGGCATTATTATTAACAGTAAACAATTATGTGAAACATCTAAGGCACATTGTATGGATCAGCATCATCATCATGTAGTAGGTCCTTCGCAGACGTCGTTCTCATCACAGTCTGCATGAAAGAAGTTGGTCTCTCGCCAGTTCTCCTGCCTCATGTACTTTCATACTCAATGAGTCACTTATATCTTGTGCCCATCTTCGTGTCGGTCGGCCTCTGCCTCTCATTCCTAGTAGCATGCCTTCTGCTTTATTTTTTTCAAATCCGTCGTGGTGCCTGATTTGACCAAAATATGTCAGCTTCCGAGACAGGATGTTGTTTTTTAGCCAATCTTCTTTGATGTTCAGATCTTTCAACATGTCAGTATTTCTCCTCTCCTTTGTCCAAGATATTCTGAGAATCTTTCTATAGCATTTCAGCTTGAAAGCCTCCACTCTCTTTCTTAAGGACTTGGAGTTAGTCCACGACTCACATCCGTATGTAGCCACAGGGAAGATGCATGCTCTCAAAATTCTAATTTTGATCTCCTTGCCTGTGCTTAACTATAGGCTTTTAATTTTAAGGCTGTTCACCATTGTCTGGATAGCTGAGATTATTTCTGTTGAACGTCCATATGAGGTATTATTCACCTCTCCTATAGCCGCCGACACTGAATCAGTTCATACCTGCGACTATAATTGTAGATAAGGGATACATTCGCCGAAATCCCAAATAATGTTTTTTAAATTGTCAAATAAATAGAGGTAAACTACCCTCTTCCCCCTCCCCCCCCCATACACACACACAGACACACACACACACACACACACACAGCGAGAGAGAGAAAGAGAGAGAGACAAACTCATGTATACACATCGTCATCGCATGCCCAAGTGAAGTAACTGCATTCTACCTGTTTATAGAAGAACTGAGATATTTGAGAATTTCGGCCGACATATCAAACATCACGAGGCGTTTTCCCTGTTATAGATCCCCTCTGGTACCCGGCTTACCCAAGAAATCATCACATTCTGTAGAAGATAGCCTAACTTCACATCCTGTAGACGACAGACTTACCTAACATTCTGTAGCCGACAGCTTAACTCCACATTCTGTAGACGACAGCCTTACCTAACATTCTGTAGACGGCAGCCTTACCTAACATTCTGTAGACGACAGCCTAACTCCACCTTCTGTAGACGACAGCCTTACCTAACATTCTGTAGACGACAGCCTTACCTAACATTCTTTAGACGACAGCCTTACCTAACATTCTGTAGCCGACAGCTAAACTCCACATTCTGTAGACGACTGTCTTACCTAACATTCTGTAGACGACAGCCTTACCTAACATTCTGTAGCCGACAGCCTAACTCCACATTCTGTAGACGACAGTCTTACCTAACATTCTGTAGACGACAGCCTTACCTAACATTCTGTAGCCGACAGCCTAACTCCACATTCTGTAGACGACAGCCTTACCTAACATTCTGTAGACGACAGCCTAACCTCACATTCTGTAGACGACAGCCTAACCTCACATCCTGCAGACGATAGCCTAACTTCACATCATGCAGACGACAGCCTCACCTCACATTCTGTAGAAGACAGCCTTACCTAACATTCTTTAGACGACAGCCTTACCTAACATTCTGTAGCCGACAGCTAAACTCCACATTCTGTAGACGACTGTCTTACCTAACATTCTGTAGACGACAGCCTTACCTAACATTCTGTAGACGACAGCCTAACTCCACATTCTGTAGACGACAGCCTTACCTAACATTCTGTAGACGACAGCCTTACCTAACATTCTGTAGCCGACAGCCTAACTCCACATCCTGTAGCCGACAGCCTTACCTAACATTCTGTAGCCGACAGCCTTACCTAACATTCTGTAGACAACAGCCTAACTCCACATTCTGTAGACGACAGCCTTACCTAACATTCTGTAGCCGACAGCCTTACCTAACATTCTGTAGCCGACAGCCTTACCTAACATTCTGTAGACGACACCCTAACTCCACATCCTGTAGACGACAGCCTAACTCCACATCCTGTAGAAGACAGCCTTACCTAACATTCTGTAGACGACAGCCTAACTCCACATCCTGTAGAAGACAGCCTTACCTAACATTCTGTAGACGACAGCCTAACTCCACATCCTGTAGAAGACAGCCTTACCTAACATTCTGTAGACGACAGCCTAACTCCACATCCTGTAGCCGACAGCCTAACTCCACATTCTGTAGACGACAGCCTTACCTAACATTCTGTAGCCGACAGCCTTACCTAACATTCTGTAGCCGACAGCCTAACTCCACATCCTGTTATCGACAGCCTAACTCCACATCCTGTAGACGACACCCTAACTCCACATCCTGTAGAAGACAGCCTTACCTAACATTCTGTAGACGACAGCCTAACTCCACATCCTGTAGCCGACAGCCTAACTCCACATCCTGTAGACGACACCCTAACTCCACATCCTGTAGAAGACAGCCTTACCTAACATTCTGTAGACGACAGCCTAACCTCACATTCTGTAGACGACAGCCTTACCTAACATTCTGTAGCCGACAGTCTAACTCCACATCCTGTAGCCGACAGCCTAACTCCACATCCTGTAGACGACACCCTAACTCCACATCCTGTAGAAGACAGCCTTACCTAACATTCTGTAGACGACAGCCTAACCTCACATTCTGTAGACGACAGCCTAACCTCACATCCTGCAGACGATAGCCTTACCTCACATCATGCAGACGACAGCCTTACCTCACATTCTGTAGAAGACAGCCTAACCTGACATTCTGTAGAAGACAGCCTAACCTCACATCCTGCAGACGATAGCCTTACCTCACATTCTGTAGACTCTGTATACACATATCTATGACTTCAAAAGAAGCATTGGGCAGACATCGCTTCTTGACCTTTTGGCTAAGATCAAAATGAAGGGACGGGGGACGGGGATTGTTCACAAACCACGTCACAAGTGAAACCAAATCGGCAGGAGCCCAGTAATATCCTTCGGATAGTCGGACGGCCAGGCTGCACAGATCAGAGGCTTCGATGACCAACATAAAATTAGCATGTCGCTTCCTCAGGACGCTAAACTGATCTCGTAGATCTCGTAGAAGTTGTTGCCTCAAGGCACTCAGCACGACAGTGTGAGAAAAGCCTACATAAGGTTTCCATTTAATTCTCTCTTTTTTGTCATGGCACTCGGACAGGTTCTACCTACGACAGCTGACATTTAAAACTCATTTCATCAAGTAGGATATTCACAGGATAGACGTCTGATCTTAATTAGATTGTCATCTAGTAGGATATTCACAGGTTAGACGACTGATCTTAATTAGGTTGTCATCTAGTAGGATATTCACAGGTTAGACGACTGATCTTAATTAGGTTGTCATCTAGTAGGATATTCACAGGTTAGACGTCTGATCTTAATTAGGCTGTCATCTAGTAGGATATTTACAGGATATACGTCTGATCTTAATTAGGTTGTCATCTAGTAGGATATTCACAGGTTGGACGGCTGATCTTGATTAGGCTGTCATCTGGTAGGATATTCACAGGATAGACATCTGATCTCAATTAGGCTGTCATCTACTATGATATTCACAGGATAGGCGGCTGATCTTAATTAGGCTCTCATCTGGTAGGATATTCACAGGATAGACGGCTGATATTAATTAGGCTCTCATCTAGTAGGATATTCACAGGATAGACGTCTGATCTTGATTAGGCTGTCATCTAGTAGGATATTCACAGGATAGACGGCTGATCCTCATTAGGCTGTCATCTAGTAGGATATTCACAGGATAGACGTCTAATCTTAATTAGGCTGTCATCTACTAGGATATTCACAGGATAGACTGATGATCTTAATTAGGCTGTCATCTAGTAGGATATTCACAGGATAGACGTCTGATCTTAATTAGGCTGTCATCTGCTAGGATATTCACAGGATAGACAGCTGATCCTAATTAAGCTCTCATCTAGTAGGAAAATCGATGAGCGAAGATTTGAATCTTACTTGCCATTTCGTAAGATTCTCGATCTACAAACGTTTGAACCAAGATTTGTATTTAGTGGCAAACTCGTCCTATGGACTATACTCATTTTCCAAATAAACATTCGATGGATTTTATCATCTTTGCATTGGGATAGGCTGATAAGTCAGCGTGACACAGGAGTCATGTGCGAGGTTCTGTAAAACCTTCACAGTGCCTGCTTGGTGAATTCTTCAGTATTCCTTATACACAGCACAGAATACTTCACTTTCTATGACCGAAGTCACCTCACCAAATCCACATAGGATCGTATTAAGGCTATGTGCAGCATGTGCAGTTTTGGTAAAGGCAAAACTATAAGAGCGGAAGAATACATCTTTCGTCTTTCCAGATGATAGTGCTATATTATGAAACCAGGCATGGGAACTACCGTCGATGGCGATAGCTTTTGTGACTAGCAAGACTCGCCCGAGTTTTAAAAAAAAAAAGTCATTTACAATTCCACCATGCTATTTTAGGGCCTTTTTTTAAACTATCATATTAATTTTGTGTGCTCCTTCTCAAAATCAGACGATAAGCTCTCTTCTTCATCTTCTTCTTTCGTTCGCCTGAAATAAGTTGTCTATATCAGCAGTTTTGTCCCTTGTATAAATTTCACTGTCGTTTATAGTTCATTCAGTGGTCCATAGAGTTTACCTTCCTCTGTTGTTCTTTCTGGCAAAAAGGTTTGCCTTAATGTGTCAAAGTCGGTGCATGGAGTACATGCTCTGCTGTCTGAGACACTTTCCACAGGTGCACATGGCTGATACACCTATCTTGAATGTTGTGTACATGTGGTTAGTAATCGGTTGTGCCCTGTTCTGAGGCGGAGGATAATGTCTTGTTCTGGTCTGTCCATAATAAAATAGTCGTTTTGTGCTGGGGCTGGTGGTTTCCTGATCGATTTAATTATTCTTTTCTTTTGGTGGTATGTGACTGGTATATCCGGCTGCTCTTTTGTCGCACCTTCCCCTGCCAGTTGATCAGCTTTCTCATTTCCAGGCACTCCACAATGAGACGGTATCCACTGCATTACGACTCATCCCTGAAGGCTGAGTTGTGTCAGCAGCGTTTGCAATTCTGTTAGTTTCCTAGACTGGAGTGCTTCAAGTACTGATTTAGTATCTGTCAGCATTACCACATACTGTGAGCCAAGATTGGTATTTAGCAGTTTCTCTGTTGCTATCTTGATAGCTTGAGTTTCTGCTTCATAGTTATGGCAGTACTTCCCGGTTGGTACGTTGGACTTATCCCTAATACCATCTGGGAATTTGATGTACACTCCAGCACCACCATTTCTAACTGCACTTTCTGCGCCCCATCTGTATAGACTCTGACCCATTGTTTTTGTGGCTAAGCTCTCAACTTGTCAGCAATCGTTTTTCCCTTTATCTTCACTCCCATCCTGATTTTGCTCATCCATGGTGACATTTGGTCCCCACGAATCTACATCAGTACGTATCATTCATGTCCACAGCACAGTCTGGGCAGTATCCTAGACATACTATACACTATACACAATATACGAACAGACATGAACTGATCAGCACTCGTAGAAATAAGTAGAAGGATAAGAGGGTAGAAAGATGTCCAACGATCAACACATTACCCTGTTTCCCGTTTAGTCCCCTCCTAACAACATATACATTGTGACCGTTTCAACACTTGTTATTTCCTGTATTTAAGCTGTAGCTGCTTTGAAATAACCACAACGCTTGTCTTTTCTTTATTCATTTGATACTAAATAGAAAGGGACAAAGAAAGGCCCAAAGAAAAAAGATGACCCAAAGATGGAACCGACTGAGCCAGACGCAGTGCTTGAGATCACCGGATATCCACGCGGGACCAGAACCAACGGTGTTGATATTGTTTTAATGCCGATTTTTCTGAATGGACCAGACCTGTGGTATGACAGACATGTTGCTCTGCGGCTTTCTGACAGTAAGTGGTTACTTTAACATCTCTGACTATAGCATATAGCTATGACCCTTACAGACTTTGTGCATCATCAATATATTTTTGTAGGCTTACTGGCAATATCATTCATCATTACCATCTTTATCACCATCACCACCACCACTCTCATGTACAGTGCCGATAAGTGTAGGCAGCCATGTTTCACCATCTCACATGATCACCATAATAATAAATCAGTTCAGCATTCTTGTTCAGCCCCATATGGCTAAGCCAACCGAGTGTTTGACACCTTTCCTTTATCTTGCCCCCTCTCCTTCAATGTTGCCTCTCGTTGCCAAGTTTTAGAGTCCATTCTTCCTCACAACAACATGTCCGAAAACACCTACTGCTAACAACTAATCTCTATAAGCAGTTTGTGACATTCTTTGCTCCCTTCTAAAAAAAACGAAATCTCTCCTGCTAGTAGATGTTTTATCAGCTTGTCTGATTATTGTCTATGCCTCTCATGCACATACACAACACATGTTCTTTAGCCCTGTAACACTCCTTTTCTGGCTGCAATTGAAATCCTATTTTGTTCAATATGTTTTGCATCTTGCCTAAGGCCACTTTTGCATGGTAGTTCTTGTTCTAATTTATTCAATGTATTTTGCGCCAGATGTTGTAACTTTAAAATAGTAGTATCGATTCACAACATCGTTTAATAAAATCGCGATATCTTCAGTGACGAATCAAACTGGCTAACAGAAATGAATTGTGCTAATGTCACTAACTTTTCTCTGTTACTACTTCTACGTTATCAACAAATTCTTGTGTACATATTATGTGGACTGTCCTCTTGCAATTAAGATGATTTTGCAGTTAACATTTGTCTTTTGATTGCTTAACGCTGTACACTTTTCTTCTACAATGTTTTGGAAATCCACTGACATCACTGCATTTGGGACATTCCCACGCTTGCTCCGTCCCCTTGTCAATAAGCAACTGTTTGTACCAGTTGCCACCTGATTAAAAGTCAGCCTCTGTTTCCTCTCTTTCTTCTTCTTCTTTTTTCCTTCTTCTTCTTCTTCTTCTTCTTCTTCTTCTTCTTCTTCTTCTTCTTCTTCTTCTTCTTCTTCTTCTTCTTCTTCTTCTTCTTCTTCTTCTTCTTCTTCTTCTTCTTCTTCTTCTTCTTCTTCTTCTTCTTCTTTTTCTTCTTCCTCCTCCTCTTCTTCTTCTTCTTCTTCTTCTTCTTCTTCTTCTTATTATTATTATTATTATTATTATTATTATTATTATTATTTTGCCGTCTCACTGATACCAGGTTGTAGCCCAGTAATGTAGTTTTCTGTATTTGTCTTGCGCTTCTCATGTGGTGATGGATTTGTTAATCTTTTTGCAGGTTTCTGCTACACCATTTATCCATCTCTTTCTTGGTCTTTCTCTCGGCTTCCTCCCAGATTTTCTGCTGTAAAAAGAGTATCATTTGCAGTTTGGTCTGGCTGCATTCTCACTAGACGGCTAAACAGTTTTATTCCATGTCTGTCCATATAATCCAGGCATGATCTTATTCCAACTTTCTCTCCAATGGTGGCATTCGTAACTCTGTCTCTTCTTGTGTTGTTAGCGACTCTGCGGAGACAGCGCATTGCACATATACTTAGTGGATGTTCTAGTGCCATATTCATTGTCCATGCTTGGCACTGATAATATAAAGTAGGGATAAAGATGCTATAATCATTTGCTGGTTTTTTAGATAGGAGATATTTTGGTATCTAAGCAGTGGGG